TTAACCACTTTAACTTGTAAAGTTTAAAGTTAAAGTGCCACCCCTATCTCCAATTGAGCACTCGATCTACTACGTGTACTTGAAGTCTGATACTTATCTGAAATAGAAGAGTATATGATTTTGATAATGTAAAAAAACAGAGCCACTTTTTATTTATTTTATATTTGACTGTTTGAGACATAGAAACTACAAATACTAGAAAATAACTGTGATCTACTAAATGATTCGTATTGATAGTATTGAATAAAGTTGAATTTGTAGGAACAACTATGTCACATGTATGCGTCATTGAATTGATGTTGTGGATAGCATCGATCAACGATATAAATTGGCATACCAAACGAAATTATACGGACAACCAAAACGTTGTTCAACATCACTGCCGATGGGACAAATCATATTCAATTTGGTTTCACCATGTATAATGAATAATGTTTCAATAATGTATCGTAGTATAATGGAACAATCCTCAGTTACTAGAGCAATGAAAAATGAGAAGAAGAAAGTAAGAGATAAAAGCACAATGATGATGGAGATTAAGATCGGTGTTTTACTTACGCACGGCAATGATCGCCATTTTATACAAGTCTACTGCAGCATAGGGCAGTTGGTGAATGGAAGAACAGACAAAACGTTCGAAAAATAAGCGCTGCTTTCGTAATTGTCGATAGGAGAAGACATAGGCAGCTGGTGGTAATGGCACACAATCTCGATATTGTGTCACTCTATAATTATCTACTGCGGTAGTCGCTATCGCAGAAACCGATGCAGATTGTGTACATGAAGTTCCTGGTAAATAAATGATCAATATTTTCTGTTTGTGCTTTATCCAAAGGTAGAGGTATAAAACACCAATAGGCTGGATTGCAATCCAGAAATGAACGAAGTGCCGCTGGACATCGAGCTGAATGTTGATAGAGACGCATGTGATTGGCTATTTCTTTTCTACAACATGGAAAAAGAAGAAGACTAGAACAGCGTCGAATGGAACGATCCTGTGTATCTTTCATTATTCTTGTTCGTTGGGATCGAGTGGTGATCCTCGAAATAGAGGACGACCAGTTAATTTTTCATGTATAATTCGATTGCCATGTTTTCGATGATCTGTTTTTGTAAAAACTGCAATCACAACATACAAGTGAGCAATCCTCCACGGAATTTATACTTACAAGCCATAGCATCAGCTAATGTTTCTGCTGTTGAATCGACATGTCATGACATAGACCACATTCGAGGTAGTACATGTCTAAATTTTAGTGATAGCCTATCAATAAACATTCACTATTCAATAAGAACGTACTGCTAGACAATTGAGATAGGTAGTATATCCATTGATAAATTGATGCATTGAACTTGAGACAAAATCAACAAGTAACGCTCGTCTGAAGACTCGCTCAGCTCTTTCTCGTAGAAATTGCGCTACTAAACAACCACCAAGCTATTGATTTATACAATTAAAAAAAACACAAGTCAAATTCGTATTCATCAATCCCAATTACCTTTGATCAAACTTTATAACAGAAACTTTTTTCGTAAAAAAGGGCTCCTTTGTGTAAAAATATTGATCTCAAAAAAAATTTAAAAAACTAACATCAGATTCGAGTTCTCCGATCCCGATTACCCTTCGGTCAACCCTTATAAAAAAATATTTTTTTGTAAAAAAAAGTGGTCCTTTCTGCAAAAAAACTGATCCCAAAAAAATTTTAAAAGACTAACATCAGATTCGAGTTCCTCGACTCCGATTACCCTTCGGTCAACCCTTATAAAAAAAGTTTTTTTGTAAAAAAAAGTGATCCCTTGTGTAAAAAAATCGATCCGAAAAAAGTTTCAAAAAACTAACATCAGATTCGAGTTCCTCGACTCCTATTACCCTTCGATCAACACTTATAAAAAAAAAATTTTTTTGTAAAAAAGTGATCCTTTGTGTAAAAAAACCGATCCGAAAAAATTTTTTAAAAACTAACATCAGATTCGAGTTCCCCGACCCCGATTACCCTTCGGTCAACCCTTATAAAAAAAATTCGTTTTATGTCTTTACCTAATTCTTCGACCAATCAGTGAGGTGCGGACACACAAAGCAAGCAAGCAATCAGACAATTTATGTTTACTGGACTCTTCTCTACGAGAAAGAGAATTAATAATCAGTTAATAATTATTTAATAATAATTAACTAATTAATTAATTAGTTAAAACTGACATCAGATTTGAGTTCCTCGACCCCGATTACCCTTTGGTCAAGTTTTACGAAAAATATTAATAATTAATAATTAGTTAATAATAATTAAGTAATTAGTTAATTAAAACTAACATCAGGTTTGAATTCCTCGACCCCGATTACCCTTATGTTTTTTTGACCCTCTGCGGACATACAAGCAAGCAATCAAGCAAGCAGACAATTTATGTTTGTAAGACTCTTCTCTACGAGAAAGAGAACAACTGGCCATTTTTGAGTTTTCTTGTAGCTATTCAATGGATGACAACATAGACAAAACAGATTGCCACATGGAGTCAATGCATATCTTGCTTGAGGTGTATCTTTTCCACAGAATAGACCTTCAATCTTTGATCGAGGTTCAGCTCATCGAAACGAACAAGTTTTCATGTAGAAGAGGTCCACTAAAGAATATTAAAAAATATATTCTACTTAAAAATGATTTGTCTATAAGAAGACTGACCATCTATTTGTAGATAAAATTCTAATGCTATAGCCATTTGTTTCGAATTAAGTATGGATTCGTTCAAGGCAACATCTCTCTTACATAGAACAGTTCGTCGAAACAATTCATGTAATGCAAGAAGAGTACAACAGATTCCACGAAGTCGATCAGCATTGAAAGTAATGATTGATTTGCCCACTTATAATCGTGAAGCCAATTCTTCAGCATCTTGTTCAGATAAACTAAATCCATTGGAATATCGGTACTGATTCATCATCATCATCAGAGCATCTGACGTGTATGCTCCATGTTGACGTCGAGCGACTTCATGAGGTGCAAGATGAGTAACTAGAAAATAATAGCAACAATGAAATGAAAAGATTTCTGACAAGTATATGTGAAAATACAAACCTGGTACATTAGCCAAGAGTACACAATCATCTAGACCAACAGATTTAGTTGGAAATATAGTTAAATAAGCATATCGTTCATTATCTTTATTTGGTAATGTTCTTGATTGATATCCTTGTCGTTCATCTCTTTTTAATGAAGAAGTGGCTTGTTCTGCTCGATTTAAATCAATACTATCACAATTCATGTGTAATATGTAGATGTTGAACTATGGCTAGTATTTTGTATCGGTGTTCAAATTGTAGTTTTCCTCGAGAAGATCCTATCTGAAGTAGAGAAGAATATGAATGAAAAGTTTTTTGTTTTTTTTTGTTCTTTTAGAGTTTTATAAAATATGAATAAGAGAATGAAGTTTGTTTGTTATTCTAAAGTAAATTTAGAGTCTGACAGTAATCGCTTGTCCATCCACGATATGCAGTATTTGTTCGATGTTATATTGAGCGTGATGACTCATATTGGTTTGGCGATTTTCAATGGCAGTGATAATCATATCGACTGTGGGTGATTTCTTAAATTTTTTTCCATTATTGAATAGTTTTGTTTTCTCATTGATCATTTTTTGACAGTAAGTTTGAATGATATCTTCAGCTACCGAGATTGTTTGCATTATTAAATCCTTTCGGAATGTTATCATGGATTTCATTTCAGTCATGGTCATATTTGTTGTTGATAACCATTGTTGATCAAAAATAAGGTTTGCCAATATAGAGTTGATTTTTGTTAATGCTAGATCCTGAAAAGTACAATAACAAGTTGATGGAGACTTATCAGACAACCATTTTTTGAATATAGCAATCTCATATCGAAGTTTTTGTTCATTGTCGGTAGCTTTCCAAATAATTTTCGCTGAATGTATCTAAATATAATCAGGAAGAGAAGATAGATGATATTTATCTAAGATATATATTCACAGACTTCGGTTTGTCTAGGTTTTAATTGATAAAAAGTTTCAATCAATTGATGATATTTTGCATCGAATTTGAGCATATCTCTTTGTCTTTGAAGTTCAATACGTAATTGATATTGATCTTCACAGACTAAATCTGTAATAATTTCCAATAAGTTTATTTACATGGATAGATGAAGGTACTTGTTTTAGATATTCGTAGATTCCACGTGTATTGCCTTCAATTTGTTCTTCAAAATACTTTTGTCGTTGTTTGATCAATGTTTTTCGTCGACCATATGTATAACATATTGAATTGCTTATAGCCATTGTTTTTGATATTCGTCTAGTCTAAATACCTTCACCTATACCAAGATGATAGTAATATGTCCATTGTTCATATTGTAATTTTGAATAAATTAATTTATTGATGAATTGTGTCAGTTGACGAGTATAAGTCAATAGTTCTTCATTATTGAATAACTCAACTAAAAACTGTCTCTCAGTATCTGTTGTGCTTATTGTGAATAACATTTGTTGAAAGTCCTTGTTAGATATCTGTGAATAATCAGATAGAAGTAGAGTTGGATCCAAATTTAATCCAGTATACGAAGGATAATATTTCTTTTTTAGTAGAGATTCCTGTGATATGAATAATAATTTATCCTCATTAATTTCTATCATATCTTCTACTATATATTGATGATTTGTTTCATTAGATATTGTTTTCATATGTGGACTTGATGTACGATATTTCTTTTTCAAATATTGTACTTTTCTAGTACGTTGACGTTTATTTGATTTTTTTTCCATTGTTTCCGATTGTTGTCGATTTTTATTCAAATTCATGGTCAGTGAACTTGATCTATTTTATCTGAAATCACAAATAGAGGAAAAGTAAAAAACAAAATGGTTTAAACTATTCAATGAATATTTAAGATTAAATAAGAAATATACAATGTATTTTTTTTTCTAACTATTAAAAGATTGTTTGTTTTTTCTAATGTTCATATAATATTCTATCGTGAAGATTAGGCTGTTGGAGGAGGTGTATTGGTTTTTCGTACTAAAAATAAATGCCATAACATTGGATAAGAGATTAGTTAAATCTTTACTTTTGTTTGGTGGTAAGTTCTTGAGTAATGAGGAATGTGGACGTTTACGTGCAAGTTCAAATTCTAAATTTGGATTATTTCGATGACCAACAATTAATCTAATATCTCCATAATCTGTATTCTTGAAGAAGCTATCATGGATCTCATGTATATGTCTTTGTACATCTTCGAGTCTTGCCTCATGTGTACAATGTATAAATATATTACTTTTGAATTTATTTTCTTTTTCTTTTTTTGTTTGCCCGTATTCTTCCATAGTTTTATTTTTAATCATAGTATCTACTGAAGCTGCACTTTTAGCTACTACTATCTTTGGAATTGATGGTTGTGCGAGTAATTGTTGACGTAAGACAAAAAATTGTTCTTTATTATCAATGAGTAGTAAAATAGATGAAGATGAAGATAAAGATAGATATTTCTTTAAAAAGTGTTGAAATTGTGTATTAATATACGTGGATGGATATCTACATAAATAAATGATCATTTTTCTGATATATTAAATTAAAATAAAAAGAAGAAGAAGATCTACCCATTCAATAATAGAGTTAAACGAATAGTACGCCGTTCATTATTAAATGCTTCAAATGTTGATGAATATCGTACAGCTCTCATTAGAATAGTTTGAATCACATTTCGAAAGACATGTCAAGGATGATCAGATAAAAACGATAAAATGGATGGTTCAGCGGCTGGTTTATGGTAAACGGATGAGAAAAGAATGCCATTATTATTACTAATAAGAATATCAAGAAATGGAATACTCTTGGCTATTGTATAAGTTAATTTAATGTTGGGATGAAATTGATTTACTGATTCTAACCATTTTTTCACTATTGTTTCATTTTCATTCGAAGTAAAGAAGATATCGTCAATATAACTGTGTGAAAGAAAAGAAATAATAAAATTGATGTAATTATTTCAATGAAACTAACCGGCCATAAAATTCATGAGAAGGTAATTTTGAAAGAATAGCTTGTCGTTACCATTTCCACATGAAAACATTAGCTAAAGTTAATGTAAATGCTGATCCCATAGTACCACCAATAATTTGTCGATAGAATTTTTTACCATAAACAAAAGCATTGGCTTGAAGTACAATACGACCTAATTCTACAATAGTATCAATAGAAATTCCTTCGATTCTTTCACAATGATGAACATGAAGAAATTCAGCCAGGATAGCTAATGATTCCTCTTGTGGTAACATAGTATAAAGATTAGTAATATCAAATGTAACAAAAAGAGTAGATGAATTAAAATAACCAGTTTGAATATATTTATGAAGTTGATTAAGAAGATCAACACCATCTACAATCGTTGTTGAACGAGCATATCGATCAAATAATGGACGAATTAAATGATCTAAATATTTTGAAATTTTTGTTGTTGCTGCATGTATTGTATTCACAATCGGTCGAAGTGGTGTTCCTTTCTAAATAGTCGATTTTTTTTTCATTCATATATAGATAAAATAATGATGATATGAATAAATGATTACTTTATGTGGTTTAGGAAGAAAATACATGTAGGCTAATTCTATGTTATTTCGAATAGGCATCATCTTCTGTTTTTGCTATTCATTTATTTTCTTAGCCGAACGTAATTGATTCAATAATTGAATTACTTTATAAAATATCTCATCGAATGGATTTGAAGTTAATTCTTTGTAAGCACCTGTTTTTTTGTCGATATTCTTTTGCTTTTCGTTCATAATCACGAGCACGACCAATATGAAATACACCACTTTTGTCTGTTTCACGTAATACAAGTTTATATTACTTTAATTTTCGTCGAATTGATTTGACTAATTTTAATTCTCGTCGTGCACGTAATTGATCCATTACAGGTAATAGAGTCATATAACGATGCAGAAGATATGTCCGAAGACGTTCTGAATAGAATTTATACATAGATACGGTTTTTGGTATACCTGGTCGTCCATCATGTTTGTCACCCATATAGTTTTTGAGTTTATTCCCTCTACTGAAAGGAGGGTCATACACCGAGCAAGGTTCGTATGTTCGTAACTTCGTTCGTACGTTCGTTCGTTCGCACAAAAGGTTTTTTGACCTCTCATATCACTCATTTTACAACAAAAGCCCAAAAAGCTTACTTTTCGTTGGGATTTCGACCAATAGAGTTTTTTGACATCGCGGTTTCAAGCAATGGGATTTCAGGAAGGGGGCAAATCAGCCAATCAGATTTCTTTAGCCTGTAATTTAGCCCAATAAAGTTATTTTTGGTCGGGATTTCGACCAATAAGATTTTTTGACATTGCAGTTTCAACCAATACGATTTGGGGGTGGGAGGCAAATAAGCGAATCAGATTTCTTTGGCCTGCAATTTGGCCCAGTAGGGTTATTTTTGGTCCGGATTTCGACTAATAAGGTTTTTTGACATTGCGGTTTCAACTAATGGGATTTCAGGGTGAGGGCACATCAGCCAATCAGATTTCTTTTGCCTATAGTTTGGTCTAGTAAGGTTATTTTTGGTTGAAATTTCGACCAATAGGGTTTTTTGACATTGCGGTTTCAACCAATGGGATTTTAGGAAGGGAGCAAATCAGCCAATCAGATTTCTTTGGCCTGTAATTTAGCCCAATAAAGTTATTTTTGGTCGGGATTTCGACCAATAACATCTTTTGACATCGCGGTTCCAGCCAATAAGATTTGGGGGGGGAGGGGGGAGGTTGAGGCGAATCAGCGAATCAGATTGCTTTACCGTGTAATTTGACCCAGGAAAGTTATTTTTGGTTGAGATTTCGACCAGTAGGGTTTTTTGGCTTTGCGGTTTCAACCAATGGGATTCCATAGGGGAGGAGGCAAATCAGCGAACCAGATTTCTTTACCCTATAGTTTAGCCCAATAAGGTTATTTTTGGTTGAGATTTCAACCAACAGCGTTTTTTGACATTGCGGTTTCAACCAATGAGACTTCAGAGGGGGGGGAGGGCAAATCAGCCAATCAGATTTCTTTTTTATTTGTTATCAGGTATTATGGTTTACGCTTTTTCCCTTTTCTGAAAGAAAGGGTTATACGGCGGTAAATATCCTTAAAGTTTGTCTGTCCGCCTGTCTGTCCTAACCAGTCAGAAAATAGAGGTGCGTATATCAACTAGACTAGTGTTTCACAAATTTTAAAAATCTTTACCACGGGTTTTGGGGTCAAGGAATTGAACGTTGACATTAGTTTTTGAAAATTTTTTCAAACAGATGTTTTTTACGAAAAAGAGAGATTTTTTAGTAAAAAAAATGTTTTACTATAAAGTTTGATCAAACGTTTTCGAGGTCGAGGAATCGATTGGTAGTATTAGTTTTGAAAATTGTTCGAAATCATTTTTTTTGGTAAAAAACGATGTTCTTTTCATAAAGTTTGAACAAACGTCTTCGAGGTCGACGAATCTGAATCCGTGATTAGTTTTTGAGACTGACCTTTTTAGAGAAGGAAAAAGTTTTCTACGAAAAAAACTGTTTTCTATAAGGTTCGACCAAAGACTTCAGAGGTTGAGAAATCTGAATCCATCACGAGTTTTCGTAAAAGTTTTTGAAATGAGTTTTGGCTGCGGAAGGTTTTATTAAGAAAATAATGTTTTTGTTCTTAGATTGAAGGAGAGAGATGATATAACATAAAATAAGTTTGCAATTCTACATGTATGGCTGATTCTAAAGTCTGTTTGTATATTTATGCACCCTAGCCAATGGGAAAACGGTGTTGGCTAGATTGATATCAAAAGCTTCTGATAGTTTAGAAAGAGCTTTACGAAAATTCATCGAAGGAAAATATATCCAATCTGAATCAAATGTGATTTTAAAAAGAAGTTAATAAACAATTAGGAATTAGTTTTATACTTTTCTTAATAAGTTGATTCCAAGATAATCGAAGATCAATGACTCAAAATTCGATTGTTTTTATCAAATAAGTAATAATCAGTAATTTTAACTGTCTCCAGTAAAATTCTACTAAAGAGAATCGACTATGGGGAATGCAAATCTGAGGTCAGCTTGCCAATATTGGCTGTTATTAATTAATGATAAATTAATGTATCATTGTTTTCTATAAAACTTGGCTGATCATTATGGAGCATCAAAAATGCGAATTCGAAGTTAATCGAAGCCTTTCTGGCCTTTTATAAGCTTCTTTTAATGAATTCCTTGTTGTTTTAAGCTTGACTTAAGGATAGACGAGGATCGCGAATCCATGCTGGAGATTCCTTTTAATATAAGTATTTTTCCTTGTTGATTACAAAACGCCAAGTCTTTGGGTAAGATTTATACGTAGATATGTAGAAAACGAAGTGGTCACTTGAAGTCCAGTTATTGACTCTTCGTAGGCATCAAATGCAAAATAACATTTAAAACAGACGAAAATCTTTTCTAAGCGACAATGTAATGTACTCTATTTGTAGAAATTTATAAATAGTTCTCTTTGTTTTAGTTTCTTCTTGATGAGGGTATTAACATATGCTCAGTAAATTTTTGAAAAGAATTCAAACGAGATGCATCTATTCGCTTCGAACCTGAAGTAATATCGAACAACTTAATGGCGTTAAGTATGGGCACGGTTAGTCGTGAGTGGCCGACCGGAGGGAGGCCGACGAACGACTAGACGTTGACTAAGAATGTTATTTTAGAGCATAATTTTGAAATGTGTCTGAAGCGGTTTAGGGAGATTCTCAGAAGAACTTAACTAATGCTGGTTTGAAAACAAATTCGGCAACATATCATTTTGTTAAAATAAAAAGAGGTTGAAAACTATGACGAAAAGTACACAACATTATTTAAAAATGTTGGAAATTTTTGATTACATATTGATACGTAATGAGCAAACTATTTTTTCTGCGCATCAAAGTACTAATGTGACAAATGGTAGGCAGAAAAATAAACCATATATGGAAACGGCTAGTCGTGAGTGGCCGACCGGAGGGAGGCCGACGAACGACTAGACGTTGATTTAGAAGACTTATCGTAACTATAACAAGTGAAAGTTGAGCCACCTTCGGAAATTGTCAAATTATCTGATTCTTGAACCAAACTAATTCCTCATTAGACATTTGACGTAATATAGTCTATCCAGTAAAAGATTTGTGAATGCTAGCAGGGCGTTATTTGCTTGTTTTGTCGTAAGCAAATATAGATGTCGTTGTGCCGTCCTAAAGGTTTTAAGAAGCTGTGCAGAATACTATAATTTTGAAAAAAAGATCTTTTTTTCAAGTTATTCTAATTTGGGGTGGTCGCCACTTGGTCATGCTACTGAACTCGCTGAACAAACGGAAACAACTAAAGGACATCTAATTTCATTTTCTTAAAGAAACAATCATATAGCAATACATATGCCACTTAAAAAGCCATAAATGTTTCTCTCTCCGTTTTATTCAGAAAAGTTAGAGTTCAGGATAAGAAAATATGACATCACAAACAACTGAATATGATCATATATCTGTATTAAGCTTGATCAGATTTAGTCAAGGATAAGCAACTGAAATCCGAGGTCTGCTTCTGATGATGGTACAACATTTAAATGTCTAGCGAATCATTTAAGGGTGCTTGCTCTAGAGAAATCTAGTGTTGAAAGGCGGCTAATATTTTTCAAAATATCTATTTTTTGATTCTTCAACTATATTACGGTTTCTCTACCCAGATTATTTTCAAAATGATAGAATTCGAGAATGTTCTTTATCACAACTGGTTTAAACTCTTTAAAATTGATGATTTTTTTTCAAAAAAACAAGTAACGCGACGCAAACGCCGCTAACCCTCTACTGAAAGGATGTGATTTCCTTGAACATATGGCACTCACGAAGAAGAAGATCACAGTACTAATATGCTGCTATGCATCTATAAAAAGATAAATAG